TACAAAACGACGATCATTTTTCTAATTTCATAGATAACAGAAGACTGTATTTTTTCTACATAACCCCCCTGACTTTAAAGCTGGATCCGCCCCTGGGTGAGGACAAATATTTCTGGTAATAGCAGAACTGCTAATTTAGTTAATTTCTACTTCTGCAACAATTCAAACTTATGTTATCCGGTGTAATGTAGAAGTTTATGGTTTGGATTCTAGAGAGATCTAGAGATCTAGAGAGAAATTATTTCCACGGTTGCACAAAAGACCGAACAACTCACCTGTTTCAATACTATTAATTCATTCAAAGCAAACAAATCAATTTATTGACACCGAAGTTGTACCTATATTTACTTACCGCAAAATTACAAAAAACTATTTTAATTCATAAAGCATCCTTCTCTCTAAATAGTTTTGTTAATGTAATGATTCTATATACAAGCATCCTAAATATTCCTAAAAGATGATTATATATACAAGTAAGTATTTTTAAAGCAGAAGTATTCTTCAAGAAATGCATCTCTTCAAATCTAAAGGCWTTGGGTGTTTTTACGTAAAATCTGTTGATSTTCAAACGCGTTATAATCTTCAATAACTAATTAATCTTAAATAAATTATCAATAAAATTTATGCATTCAAAAATAATCCGGTTATAGCGTATCACGTTTTCCTTTTGCTTGGTAATAATGGCAAGGATTGGTTTTCTTTTTAAATGTTAGATAATTAAAGATTTTTCAAACAAAATATTAAAAATCTATAAAAAAAGGATTTGAAAATGATTCTGAAATTTGACAAACATCGATTGTTACGGTAGCGCATAAAATCCTTGCTTTGTGGTTTCGAGTTCTGCAATGTGTTTGGAAATCGATCGATTTTTGTTACATTTTTTCAAGATAAATAACGCGTATTTTAACCTAAAAAATATGAGCTGAAATTTTTTCCCAACCGTTTTGTTGGGTATTTCGCCTTTAAATTTTGTGTTGTTTGAAAAACGTTTCTTATTATTGATATTGATAGCAAGTTTACCTATAAATAAYCAATTCTTGTAATWACTCGAAGTTTTTCGGTTTAAGTTCTTCAGACGGAATATTCGGRATAAAAATATTACATTCTTAGAACGTAATGCTTGAAAATATGTTTTCAACTAAAGATTTTCAATGATGATTTAACTTGTTGATTGATTTGTTTCCTAACTGTTAGAACTTAAAAAGCATCAGAAAAAATACTAGTCGTGGTAGCAAAAGCGAATCATTAACTGCATTAATTAATTAAAATTACTGTGTATATAGGTTAATCACACGCTACTATAGCCATCTGGCCCGATTTCGAAAAATTACACCGGGCTTCCTAAAGTATGTAAAGTGTCGCAATATATACATGTTTAGTTCGTACAGTTGACCACCAGAGGGAGCATCTGAAAATCCAAATATACACTTGTTATAGCTCACGCA